TTATTATGTGTTGTCTGACAAACTGCAAATGGGATTTCCTTATGAATTTCTTTCCATAATGGCTTTCTACTCATTTTTCCTCACATTCTTGTCTTTTGACATGTTACTAATTGTAACAAATTGGAAAGAGGATTTTAGGGATGTGATACTTTTTAACAGCACTCTCTTGAAGGCTGCAAGTAATCCATCAGTAGATTTTTTTTCCCATGACTGTTCCGCACAACTGCACAGCTTTCCCCAAATCTATTAAACTTACATCAAGCTGAATACGCGAGTAGTTTACGACTTCCAAACTTGGACGTCCAAACAAGGCTGCTCTCATGTTGTCTTGATCACAACATACCACATACCTCCTGATCCTGAGAATCCCTCCAGAGTTTCCCAGCTCCACACCACCGATGAGAGAGCATCAACCACAGAGCAAGCTGGACACAAACCATTAAATATGGATGCATCCTTTTGGACAGACTCATATCTTTTTTGCTACACAATAATGTTCTCTTTTGTTGCGGAGTTATGCTTTAACAGGATATTTTGGAACTCAGGTTGCTCCCAGATCAGCATGATTATAATATAAACAGGAAGAACTCAAGACATGCTGGCGTCTGCCAGTCCCAGTTTATCAATAATTAGTCTCTCTGCTCTTTATCATTGGCTTTGGAGCTTAGTAGCCATTCGGGTCCCAGATGACCTTGTTTTTGTTTTAAAGCACCATCATACTGGCTCGCTGTGCACTGCTGGTGCCATGAGGCAGAGCTAATGTGAGAGGGAAGGAGCCTTGTCCTTGCTGCTCTTTACACAGCTGTAAAAACCCGTCCCAGATACTGAGAGGACCCTGGAGGTCGGGTGACGGTCAGTGTTCCAGGAAGATGTTCGAGACATTGTTGCATCCTTGCAAAAGCTATTGCTCGTATCGACCACTTCCTTCCTGTTCCTCTTCTGCTGACCTCATGAATGGATCCTTAAAGAGAAGACTCACTCAGCATGCTGAGGCACTAGAACCGGTTGGATTTTGATATATTGACGTCTGGCTTTTAGATACTTCACTTAAAAAACAGCTGTCCTTTCTTTAGCACTTCTGACAACATATCAAGACTGGTTAAAGCAGCTGTCTTATAACTTTATTCTGTAATATTTTATTAGGTTTCCTGTGACACTTTTAGTATGATTTTCATTGCAAAATTCAGCAAGTTTATAAAAGAAATAACACCTTAGGTGCCCCTTCCCTGCACATTGCATCACTGCTGCATCATTTTGAAGCTGTGGATCATTAATGATAAACGAATAAGAATCCCCAAAATATGTAACTCAACCTATAACA